CCCTCGCCTTGGGGCCCCCTCGCCTCGGGGCCCCCTCTCAGGCCGGGGACGGGTGCTCTGCGGGACGGAGGGGCTGGGATCGGCTCAGCGGGTGCCGGCTCACGTCCCACCACGGCTGCTGGCTCCGTCTTTCCGGGAGGAGCTGGTCCTCCGGCAGCTGGGTGTCTCGGTGGTGGCAGCTGCGGGGGCGTTGGGGGGCCCGCCACGGCTGCTGGGCATGTCGAACCGGGAAGGAGAGGAGGTTTCGGCATTGGAGCAGAGAAGGCCAAGCCCACGTCTGCTGGGAGCCAGCTGGAAGAGCAGGTCCAGCTTGTCTCTCCACAAGAAGCATGCACAAGAAGCATGCAGCCCTCGCACAGCTCCGAGGGGTCTTAGCACTGTGGACAAGCCCGCGGCAGCCCTGGCACAGCCAGCCCATCCGGCACCGTGACACTGTTCCCGTGCACGTGGCCGGGGTCAGGTGCCAGCAAAGTCGATGAGTTCCCACCTCGCTGGCAGCATGTCCTGTGCCCGAGGCTGGCTGGCGAGGAGTGGTGACAAACAGGCCTGGCCCAAGAGAACAGGGGAACGTCTTGGTGACATCCCAGGAGCCACAAATGGGACACTGGGAGACGTGGGGGAGGACGGTCCATATCCGGAGCTGTTACAGTGGGTGTGCCGGGGCTGTGGGCCGCTCCTGCCCGAGCAGCCCCAGCGCATCGCTCTGCTTTGGCCGCACCACCGCGATGGGAGAGCCACCGCGGCCCTGGCCTCTCCTGGGGGTGCCATGGCACGGCAAGGGGCCACAGCAGTGTCCAGGGTGGCCTGGGGCTGTCCAGGTGCGGCCCACAGCGTGCCACGAGATGGCACTGCTACGGTGCACTCCACACGCACTGCGGTGCCCAGGCTCGCACTGCTGCGTCCAGCCAGTGGCAGGGATGTCCCTCAGCTGCAGGGATGTCCCTTGGGCTGCAGCATTGTCTAGCTAGCTGCAGTGCCATCTGTGGAGTGCAGGGACATGTATATAGGAATTTTCACCCACCTTGCCAAACCAAAAATGTTAATTATGATGGTACCAACTTGTGTAAATGAGGCCTGCAAAGGGGAATCTTTCTGACTACCTGCTTTATGCGCAGGATGAGTGTGGTCACATTTGTGTTAACTCTGGGTTTTAGGGGAGGGGGGTGAATCCTACCTGGGACGGTTACCGACGTGGGGTCAGGTGGTGCCGGCAGGCTCGTCCAGCGTGGCCCTGCCTGGGGCTGGGAGACGAGATCACAGCTCAGGGTGCTGCCAGGCCCAATTCTTACTTCATGCTTCTGTTTGTTGTATCGTCCCGCCCGAGGCGCGGGCCGGGGAGTGTAGCTGTGTGGCTGTGTGGCCGTGCACCCTGGCTCGGGCTGCCGTCAGGCAGTGCCCCACAGTTCCCTCTGTCTTGCTTTGCCCCGCAGTACGACTACAGCTTCCGGACGGAGCAGAGCGCGGCGGCCCGCCTGCCGCCCAGCCCCACCAGGTGCCCACCGGTCCCGCAGTCCTGAGAGGGGCCACCGGCGCTGGAGCAGGCGTGTGCGTGCATACTACTGAGTGGGACGCAGGATGCGGCGCCGGGGCCATCCCGGCAGACCTCCACTCATCCGGCCATCACCGCCCGCCCTGCACTGCACCACCTCCTCCTGCACACGCCGCTCCACGTGTTGGGACTGTGCAACCCTTCGGCAGCTGCCCCCACCCTCCCTCGCTGCTGCGGACGCCTCTCCACGTGAGTACATGACTGGGAGCCTGACAGCAGCCCCTCGGTTGTCCCCACTTCGTAACCCCTGCTGCAGGACAGTCACAAAAACCAGAGCTGTAATAACCTGCTGCGAACAGAAAGCTGTGAGCTCATGGACCATCAAGAAATGCTCAGCAGTGAGCCCTAAAAGTAAGGAAGAGTAAAAGATACGGCTGGTTAATCCGCAAGACCCCGGGCATCCTGCCCGAGCTGACGTGGAACTGATATGCTCTCAATGCCTTGTGGCAGGAGGCCCCTGCAGCACTGGGTCCAGCGGGCAGCACTGAGCCACGGCGGATGCCCCATCTGCCTCCGCCGAGGTCCGGGCACACGGCAGCTCTGGCGCGGCTGGGATCAGCCCCAGACTGTGATCACTTGTTTTTGCTGTAGGCTGGTGGAGCCGGGGTCACTTGCTCAGACCTGCCTTGGGCTCTCTCCCCAGGGACTGGCAAGGCGGAGGGGCACAGAGAGCACAAGCTGTACTGCAGTTCCCGAGGTGAAGCACCTCCACTTTGCACAGGGTGTCTGCGTGACCGTCAGGACCTAGAGCGACAAAGGTCCTGTATTTCTTTCTGGGCTCGATGCTTGCAGTGGCCCAGGCCAATCACGGCTGTGCCCCGCTGACCCCTGGCCAAGCTGCCTGCAGAGCTGGGGCCCTGCTGACAACGTGGATGCTGTCACCTGCCCATCACTTTGGAAAGTTTTCTAATATTTGCCCCGCTAGCTGCTAAAACAAAAGAGATGTGCCTGTTCCCTTGTGCACTCACGGGGAAGCACTGAACTCTGACGTAGTGCAGGATGAGAGTGGGATGCATTAAACCCTGACCTCAGCCTTCTTGTGATCACTGACCTTAGCTCGCTCCCGAGTCAAATGCATGTCTTGGAGAAGTCTGTTGCTGTAATAAGTTATTTAGAAGTGCCCATCTGACTCCGTGCTGCTTTTTCAAGTCTCTGCTGTAGAACAAAGCTACATCATGGCAGCAAAATGGCAATTTTTAAGTAAGTGTTAAAACGTACAACTTTTTATATTGTAAAATACTGATTACCTAACCCTACTGAAATGCAATTGCCATAGTAACAAATAACAGTATTGTCGCTCTCAGTCTGGGTCATACGTATGCCCTGACCTGCTTTGCACTGCTTTTGATTGATCTTGCATTTTCTAGTTGGACAGAATGGTGACTAACAGTAGGTTTTGTACTGTCAGCTTGTATTTTTTATTTGTACATATGTAAAATATTTCTTGTCCAAAGATTCATTTCTGGTTTTAAGGCACCATACCGTATTGCTGGGATGATGAGCACAAAATACCGTAACATTCGGGACAGAGTGATACCAAGTCTTTGCTTCAATGTCTTCCAATCAGGTAAATCGTTTTCTAAAACTGCCTCTGTAAAGCAAGGCTGTGCAATTGGAAAGCGGAGGCCAATTTGGTTGCAGGTGTGTCATATTTGGGCAAAAGAATTAAAGCTATGCCATTTGCACCAGCTCTGGAGGTTTGGGTGACCCCCTGGAAGTGCTCGTTCACTTGGAGGTTGCAGCACCATTTTTAGTTCTTATTTATCCTGCAGGAAAGCAAAGCCAGACCTCACTGCCAAGCTTCACAAAGGCTAGATTGATGATGCCGACATCGACAAATGAACATACCATGGCAGCCTGGTCATTCGGCTCAGGTTCACTTGAAGTTCAAATCCACTCCATGCTGTAGTACTATGCCCATCTCATCCATCTTTTGTCTTTCTATTTTTCTGCCTGTAATTCGTTCTGTGGTTTTCTGTGGCATCCGTTTATAGCTTCTCCTGTGGCTTAGTGGACACTGCAGGTAGGTAGAGGCTGTCCACAGCGGTGCGTTCCTCAT